TCATGTGTTCAAAAATGGGACAACATTGAGCCAAGCTGAATGGGTCTATTGCTTATGCAATACTCAAGGGAATGGTCATGTGGTCTGAAATGGGAAAACACTGAGCAAAGCTTTTAAATGGCTCTCTCTTAAATTCCTTTGAATAAATGTTTGCAATTCTCGTTTTTAGGTGGAGGGCACGTCTAATGATGCTATCAGCCCAAGAAACAATACAACGGAGGCCGCTCCAGAATCCCCTTCAAATCCCAGCGGCAAAGCCTTTCTCTTCGACCGTCTTCCCTACTCTCTCTTCACGACTTTTATGTTAATTCTCGGAGAGATGAAATATCCCCATACTGTGTTTAAATATCAGCCCCTACCACATCCGGGCATTAGTTATGTCATATATATAATCTTCTGTGTCTGTATGCCCATCATTATCAAGAATTTGCTCATTGGCTTGTCCGTTGGTGATGTTAATCGTATTCTACAGACAGCGAAAATGGAACAGCATTCGATGCAGGTAATGAATTTCTTCTTTTGCTCCCTCTTAACTTCCCCTACTTCAAATTTTATCAAACCCTAAAACGACCTCTTGGYTGATCTGAGTCAGGGCATAGCTAACTCTCGGATTGAAGTCAGGGCACGGGTAACTCTCAGATTAAACCCGGGCCCTGAAACAACCTCTGGGCTAATCAAAGTTAGGGCACGGGTAAAAAAGAAAATTCGCGAAGTATTTTGGTAGCAGTAATCCAATAACAAGGCCTTTTCTGAGAATTCAATTAGCAAGATAAGTACATTCCTATTTAGACCGAGAACCCAGATATGAGAAACAATTGCATTGCTGCTACACCTCTCTTAATTTTGCTTTTCCCTTTACTCCTTCTCCTTCTCTCAACAGGTTGAATTACTTCTGGAACTCGAGCGTGCTACGCCAAGAAAGGTGTTGCGTAAAATCTGGGTTTCGTATTACGTTGAATTTCCAAACAGGAAAAAAACATGGAAGCAGAAACTAATGGAATTTGGATCACCAAAGAGGACGACATCCAATCAAGATTCATATGTCAATCCCGCTTTGTTGGCAATAACAGAACAAGTGAATAAACTCACAAAGAAGGTAGACCAACAAGAAGAAAGGTAAGACATATGAGCTAAGTTAAGCGAACATGGTGAAGTCATGACTGAATGATTCCAATGACAAAGACATGGCGGCCATGTTAGTGTATATAACAAGAGAAGCTAACGAGAAATATTTTGCTAACGTACACCAACATGGCAGTGATGACGTCACATGGAAACAAACTAAATGATTTAAATGACAAAGACATGGCGGCCATGTTGGTGTACATAACAAGAGAAGCTAACGAGAAATCTTTTGTTAACGTACACCAACATGGTGGTGATGACGTCACATGGAAACAAACTAAATGATTCCAATGGCAAAGACATGGCGGCCATGTTAGTGTATTTAGACCCCTTACAGTACTTCGGAATGCAGCTCAATCTGGGGGACAAAACAACAGATCCCAATTCTTATTACATTGGAATTATTTCGAGCTACTTCGGCGTCACATGCAAGGAGTCTATAATAAGAGAAGCTAACGAGAAATCTTTTGTTAACGTAAACCACTGAACATGGTGACATGTATGAAAGAAACTTGGCGGGAATTTGTTTTCCCAATTTGTTTACCACAAGTAACAGCCATGTGATTATTTCCTGCAAATGGCTTATAGACCCCTTGCAGCACATCGGAATGCAGCTCAATTTGGAGGACATAACAATAGGTGTACAATTCTCAGGAGATTTAGACACTGATTCGAGGCTAACCCTCAGTAAGTGAGTCTGCATTCAGTGATTAAACAGCGATGATTTGGTACTCGAAAATAGTCAATCGCATTATTTCTGGTTGACACCATGTATAGTGGTCATTGTTTGACACTTGGATGAAAGGTTATGAATATTGTTTTCAGGTTTCGCAATATTCTTCGCATTCTGAATCGAATGGATGGAAGACTCGCTGAGATGAGTAACAACAGACCTCAGGGTGGAGGAGTTGGGAATGCCGAAACTGTAAGCCATGAAGAAGAGGACGACGATCCTGATATGGCACCGGAAGTCAACAGAGAAACACCGGTCTGATAACAATTTGTTTATTTTTATTTTATTTTCTTATTTTCTTCGACGTTGCTTTTCTATTGCTTTTTTGTTCTTGGGGTGCATATAACGTCGCAGCCGCCACGTTGGTTGACAAAACAAAGCTTTCCTCATTAGCTTCTCTTGTTAGATCAACCAACATGGCGGCTGTTTCATTGGTATCTTCCTAATCTTGAGGTGCATGTTACGTCATAGCCGCCAT